TCTTGCTTCCCCCCCCCCCAAATAAAAAAAAACGCTTCGATTCTAGCTGTTTAAAACTCATGCGTTCTACTACTTCAGAAGCCAAACGGTGGTATTGAAACCTATCTTAACTACAAAAACTTTCAATCTGTCGTGTTAATGGCGGTTTGCGATGCGGATCATCGCTTTCTGATATTCGACGTTGGCTTTCCAGGACAAAACGGTGACACCGGTGTGTTCCAAAAGTCGAGCATAAAGGTCGGTTCCTTTTTTTCAGTTAATGATTTCTTGTTAACAAGTGGACATTGCAGACATTTTTCGAAGAGTGTGAGGACGTGTTCCCGGAGACAGCCGACCTTGGTACCGTTGGACCTGTGCAATATCATATTCTCACTGACGACGGTTTCGGGCAAGATGTGCGGTACATTGAACCATTTCCAGGACAGACCGCTGACACAGGAAGTAAACGACGATTCAATACAAAACACGGCTGGTGAGATGATTTGTTGGCAAATTTGTCTCACTAAACACCCTCCCCCTCCCCGTCCTTCCCCCCTCCCCCCTCCCCATCTACAAAGTCTACAAAGAAAATTTCTAAATGAACAAATCGTAACAGCTGCGAAGCTTTTGGGTGCTTGGATGGTTGGATTTTAAATGGGGAACGTGGCGCATCCGTGAAGCAGTAATCAACGATGGACGTCTCTATCTTGTGATTAGCGTGTGCCAACTATTCTTCCCCTAATATGTGACGAATGAGCAATTTGGCTATCTAGGGAAGGATCACAAATGAAATCAACTTTTTTGTAGAAGCTGAATTATGAAATACTTGGTGGGCACAGCGGGCATACGCATGCACTCCTCAGTGACTAATTATTGGTAATAACTTCTATAGATCATCAGAGTTATACCGGGACGGCTCGATTGAAACTACTCATCCCAATGCAGGAGTGGTCTGCGCAGATGTCGTTGGTGGAACGCCAGTCCGGGCTACAGAGAGTGGGTATCGAAGTTCCCTTACTTCAGAAAGCGCTGTCAAGCCCTTTTTCCTTACTTGAAATTGTTGGGAATAAGATTGTATCATAATTCGACGTATGATTTTCAACAAAAGCCCAACAGGAGCCGTTTGAAAGGTGCTCATAACGTTGCATGGGTGGCTGCCATAGATCCCTTTCTATTGTCTTTCGTGGAATCATACCAACGCGATGTCCAAGAGTATGATTAGGTCCCATCACCGAAAATTATTTGAAGCCGAAAGCTCGGATGAAACGATACTAAATTTTAATGTTGTGAGAGCGCCTATAGGAATTGAAAAGAACCAAATATATAAGCCTGCTTTCGAAAATGACTTACAAGAAAACAGAGTGAAATAGCCATTTGTGATACTTTCTTTCGATATTTGTATCCCGTACAGAGTGCAGCATTATTATCCACGGACAACATTCGATGTATTTAATCTTGACAGTCTAGAATTTTGCATGATTGATCTAATTCTGCATATCCTCATGGAAATGACATCCAACTTTCATGTGTACTATCAAAAATGACAAAGTTCTACAACCCTCTCCCCCCCCCCCCCCCCCCCCCCCCCCCCCCTCCGCCCTTTCCCATAAGGCTCTGAGGACGGTCTTCACCGACTACAATTCTTGTATGGGCAAACTCATGTGAACTGCGTTTTTCATGAACTGCATATGGCTGTCTCTCCCTGAACGTCCCCAAGACGGTTATCTCAAGTCAAGAGGCTACAGTGAAGGGTCTGCTATTAGCATGTTGTTCAATACTTCGTTGTCGTTGTATCCACCAAGTCTCATGGTTCTACATTATTCGCCCAGAAGAAATTTATACGTATCGATCCCTTGGATAGTTTTGACACGTTCAACATATAACCCTCTGAGTCACTAACAATAGTGCCACCGCTACAGTTTCCGTTGTTCTTGATCTCCAAGGTTCTACATACTTCATGCTAACCGTGGAAGTGGTGTGGAGAATAACAATAGTAGAACTTCAATCTAACTATGGTGATGAAGGTTTCGAAAAAGAGTCTGGGATCACTGTTGAAAGGAATGTCGCCTGAAATAGCCAGTGTCTAGACACGCTAAAGACACAGTTCACGATAATTTTGGGTAATCCAGATTATGATGAAAAATGGAAGACAAGATCGAAACTAGTGCGACTGA